GGTCAAAACCCAGGGCCTTTTTTTGGAGCAGGAACTCCTTTGCATGTTAGGCCACACACCCCTGATGTAGCCAATCCTAATGAGTTTCTGCTGTTGGGTGTGGCCTATTATACTAATGAGTTCCTGCTGGGCGTGGCCAACTCGGGAGCCAGCCGGAACTCCGTTCCTGTGCGTTCCTGCCCCAAAATAGCCCTGGACTTAATGCACTGCTCGTTGAAAAGGCCATATGATAGAGAGGGGAAATCGCCCCTGGCTGATCGTGTGGTATTATTTTGATAGCTGAAACCCCCCCACAAGGTCCTTATCTCCTCCCCTCCAAAATCTTCCTGGCCCTGAGCCCAGCCAGGAATGGGGAGAGGCCGTGACTCAGTGGTAGAGCATCTGCTTGGCCTGCAGAAGGTCCCAATCCCCAACATCTCCAATTGAAAGGATGTGAAAGACTTCTGCCTGAAATCCTGGAGAGCAGCGGCCTGTCTGAGTAGACAGTATGATGGACCAAGTAGAAGAAGAAGAGATTGGATTTATACCCCGCCCTTAACTACCCAAAGGAGTCTCAGAGCGGCTTACAAACTCCTTTCCCTTCCCCTCCCCACAACAGACCCCCTGTGAGGTAAAAGAAGAAGAAAAAGAGATTGGATTTATACCCCGCCCTTCACTACCCAAAGGAGTCTCAGAGCGGCTTACAAACTCCTTTCCCTTCCCCTCCCCACAACAGACCCCCTGTGAGGTAAAAGAAGAAGAAAAAGAGATTGGATTTATACCCCACCCTTCACTACCCAAAGGAGTCTCAGAGCGGCTTACAAACTCCTTTCCCTTCCCCTCCCCACAACAGACCCCCTGTGAGGTAAAAGAAGAAGAAAAAGAGATTGGATTTATACCCCGCCCTTCACTACCCAAAGGTGTCTCAGAGCGGCTTACAAACTCCTTTCCCTTCTGCTCCTTTTCCAGACAGCTCTTATCAGAACTACGGCTTGCCCAAGGCCATCCAGCCAGGTGCAAATGGAGGAGTGGGGAATCAAACCCGGTTCTCCCAGATTAGAGTCTGCACATTTAACCACTACACCAAACTGGCTCACGTATATGGCGGCTTCATGTGTTTGTTAGGTTAGAGGCCACTGTTGTGCCAGATTTTGGCTTATAAGGTTAGGCTTGCTTTTTTGAGGCATTGTACGTAAGCAGCCGTCTTGATTCAAGAAATGATGAAACTCCTTTCTGCCTTGAGATAGGAAAGAGAAAGGTTGGGTTGTAACAGCGTCCCTGACTGCCTTTGTGCACATTTCACCCACAGGGTTGAACGTCGCTGCGAACTTCGGCAACCAAAGGTAAAAACATATGAACCCCATCGAAGGGACGCCTTTGAGAAGTACTTGAAGAGCAAGAAGGCTCTGCCCCCAGATAATGGCGGAGTGTTTTATTCAAAGAAGCAGGGGCCCTTTGGTACTCCTTCTGATACACCATGTTCATCACGGAGGAGCTCTGGTTGTGGCTGGGACATCTTGCGCCGCAGCGCACTGGGCCCAGGGCAAGGGTACACCAATTATGGTATGGAGGAGGAGGAAGTCTACCATGTCTGAGCTACCAGCCCCAGAACCCAGGGATTTCTTTCTGGCTTCAGTGCAGAGGACGCACTGTAGTACATCCAACAGTTCCGGTAACGGCTGTTCTGACAGGCATCAGCAATTGTTTGGAACTCGCAACTGCTGCGAGCGACACACAGAAGAGCCTTTGAGTGGAAGCAAGCGCGCCGATCTTGAAGCCGTAGCACAACCCCAGCAGAACTTTGGAGATGACCTCTGTCATGGCATGTCCTAGGGGACAAGGACTTTTCCAGAGCCTTCCAGAACTGTGTACGGATCTTGGTTTCAGTGGTGGCCTACTTTTGCCGGCGGTAGTGGACAGTGGCACTTTGAAACCGAAGCCACTTGTGTATTTTACGAGCTAATAACGTTCATAATTTTGTATTGCTCTAAGCAGAAATGGGGAGGGAGGGGGAGCAGCGTGGGTATAGCCTGATTTCACCAGCTCTTGGGATCGTGGATGGGAGACGACCAAGGCAGAGGCTCTGCAGAGGAAGACAATGACCAGACCACCTCTGCTTCGCACTTGCCTTGCAGGTTCCTTGCTGGGTTCATCACAGGTTAGTTGTGAGATGGCGGCACTTGCGTGCGGACATAAGCAGAAAGGGATTGTCTAGGAATCACATGGACCAGTTGCATGCACCGGGGTACATTTCAACACTCCTCCAACCGCTAGATTGCTCTGGGGGTCTCTCTTCTCTTCCTGGTGACTTTTGGTATAGACAGTGGTGAAGCCTCAGGTGACTGCGCTGTGCCTTTTTTCCATCCCCCATTCACGTGATTGGTTGTAAGTGGCTCCACTGAGGACAGTACAGCACAGTGATGTGGCACCACAGGTTGGCTGCTAACGTCATTGGGAAAGGGGAGGCAGAAAAGACTCCGTCCCGTGTGCGTCTCCTCCCCAGGTCTCTTAAACCCTTCAGTGAAGGGCATTTGGCTTCTTTCCACTGCCCAGCCAAGTTGGACAGTAAGGAGTTCCGTCCGAGCATGAGAATTAAACCTAAACCCTGATTTGCGTGAATCTCATTGTTCTTGCCCCTGTTATCTATACATGGCAAAAAGATAGAGTTGTGTAGTTCGATGGCAGCTTTCCTGTTCCTGGAGCACGGTGATGTCAGTTGTTTGTTTGAGCTCAAGAGCCTCTTCCGAGCACAGCTCAATTTTCAGCCTGTTTGATCGTTTCTAGAGTCTGCTCTTTTTAATTATGGCTGAAAGTCGATATTACAGAGATTATGCACCTTCCACTGAAATCAGCCCTCCCTGTGTCTCTTCCTGGAAACATCAAGGACATGAAAATGAGGGATATGATATTACAACTGGGCTGAGTTTTCCCGCGACACAGGGAGGGGGGCATACCTTGGAAAAAAGTGATGTCGTACATTTGAATTTGCTTGATGACAGCAGAGAAGAGGATGTAACATGAAACATGTTGAAAATAATTCTTGTTTTATGTCCGGTCTTGATTTCCTGACGTTTGAATTCACGGGGCATCTCTAGACAGGCTTGCACTTAATCCCCATTACATTGTGTTCAGGTGCGGAGTGTGTACACTCTTCATTTTTTGCAGTTCTACAAAACCATCACTGGGTTAGGTACAGAACACAGACGACCTTGAGTCTTAAGTTAACTGAATATTTTATCCAAGGCTGTTTCCAGGGGTCATTTCGTAGAAAAAGAGGTGCAGGAGCTACTTAGCATAACTCATTAGTATACCTTATTTGCATATGCCACACCCCCTGACATCACCGGAAGTGTGTCACAAGGCAACACCCACCGCTCAGGCTCCATGGGACTGTTTTGGATTGCTAGCTATTCGGGGGGGGGTGAAAATGTGCAGATCTGTCCTTACAGAGGAGGGAGAGCTTGTACCAGAATAAAACTTGGTCTTAAAAGTGCCACTGGACTGTTTTGGACCGGGGGGGCTCTGCAACTTACTTGCCTGCATCTTGCTCTGACTGAGGGCTGCTGGGAGCAGGGGGTGGGGCTTGTTGCATGTGCCCACCCGCTGGGCTCTGTACTGCCGGAGCTCCGCTCCTGTGCGCTCCTGCATGAAATGACCCCTGGCTGTTTCCTACCAGTCGCGTTCCTAGGCACAGAAGAGCGCATTGAGTGATATTTGATGTATTCGAATATTAACGGTTCATGCTTTTTGAACATGCTTTTAACTCACCTTCTGCCACCTAAAGCATCTTCTACATTTTTCGTTTGTGGTTTTCACGCTTTTTGAACATGCTTTTAACTCACCTGCCACCAAAAGCATCTTCTACATTTTTCGTTTGTGGTTGCCCTTGATTTTTCAGACCAGCTTAATTACCTTTCAGTTTGAATACACACACATCGGGATTTCTTCCCTTCCCTCCTCCTGTGTGAAAGGAAAAATTTAATATTTTTTCACTTTGATGTCTGACCGGGAATAACTGTGAATTTAAATACAAATCCTCCTCCCTTTAAAATTTCTTCTTTCGACAACCTGAGTTGTCTTCTTTCAACAGCCTTTCGAACACTGAGTCTAAAACTGCAGCCCAGGCACACCCATGAGGGAGAAGCAAGGTGTAAATTGATAAAAGTATTTCCATTTGCGTCAGGGGTTCCCTGCAGATCTTCCTAGCCTATTAAGCACGGAATCTGTGGCAGTAACTATTTCACCGCTGTGACCTTAATATTTATTTATGTGTTTACATCCTTTATATCCTGCCTTTCTGCCCCCATGGGGTCCAAAAGAGGCTTCCATCATCTCCCCCCTCCTCCATTTTATCCTCACAGCAACCCTGTGAGGTAGGCTATGCTGAGAGCATGTGATTAACCCAAGGTCACTCAGAATGAAGATTTGAACCTGGGTCTCCCAGATCCTAATGCAACTGCACCAAACTGGCTCTTTCAATGCAGGCTGTGTCCTGTTACTACCAGTTTTTTGGGGGGACCACTGGAATCGGATGAATTTTGTCTAGACTCATTTTGGAGCCAGGGCAAAACGCTTATCCTTGGCAGATAGATCCAATAAAAGGGTAAAAATATCTTGGGCCTTCCCGAAGTTGCCACGGCTTGGTATTCCTTCACTTACCCATTTTTATCAGGTCGGGAGGGGGCTTAAACCAGTAGTTGTCCTCATTAATCCATCACCACCAGTGTTCCCTCTAAGCTGAGTTAGTGTGAGCTAGCTCACAGTTTCTTAGCCTCCAGCTCACACATTTTTGCCTTAGCTCGGGAAGGGATGGCTCCAGAGCAAACTAACTTATGCAGCAGCCAAATCACTCGCTCACAACTTTAATGCCAGTGGCTCACAAAGTAGAATTTTTGCTCACAAGACTCCACAGCTTAGAGGGAACATTCATCACCACCCCGATTACTTTTGTATTGGATACTCGTGTACTAAGCATTGTGCAGTACAGGCAACTGTCTCCCACTTCAGGAAACAAGATATGAGATTATACTGAGCAATCGTTCTGATGTTTACGGATCTTCCCCGCTCTCCCCTACCCAAGGCAGCCATTTCCAGTCCCGGGAAAGTCGGTTCCTCTGATTGCAGGAGGCTTGGGCAGTAAGAGCAATGTGGAGCGGTAAGGAAGGGGAAGGAGGTAAAATCACCCTTCCTTCGCTGCCTCTTCTGTCAAGAGAGCTCCACTGATGGAAGGGTTGGGGGCGACGGCTGCCAACCTCCAGGTGGTGGCCGGAGATCTCCCACTATTACAACTGGACTCCAGGCAACAGAAATCAGTTCCAGGCAGGTCTCCAGGCAAAAGAAATGGACATTTTGGAAGGTGGACTCCATAGCATTATACCCCCCTTGAAGTCCCCCTCTTCACAACCTGCTTTCCTCAGGCTCCACCCCTCAAAATACCCAGGTGTTTCCCAACCCAGAGCTGGCAACCCTAACGGAGACAACCATGTTGTCCTTTTCTGACCCCTCACTGCAGTCCACTGGCCAATGTGGCTCTTAGTCCCAACAAGTCCCGAGGGGGGGAAATCAAAGAAAACCACTGGGGGGAGAGGAAAGTGGCGTAGATTTACCATCCTTCCATGAACGGCCATGATCCTTTCCCAAGTGGATTGCTGGATCCAACCCACAAAAGGAATCTTCTAGTGAAGTGCCTCCCACTATGTTCCCACCTCTTTAAAACGGCCTCTTCTGAAAGGGGACAGAGGACCATGTTTACACCGGCAGGTTTTCTAAAGATTTCTTTTCCCATCTTATTCACACACAACCTGTTAGCTTTGGTTAGACACGCCTAAAACTCAGTGGCTTCAATAGGCTTACAAAAACATTCTGCCAACAGAACGGAACTTTCCTTCTTCTTCCCGGCTGCCTCAGGAACAGAAGGAAGGATGAACTGGGATTAGGTTGGCCAGTACCCCTGTTGAGGTATGAGGGATGCCCCACCCCCCAGGTCCCATTTCCCCACCACTCCCATCTAAACAAAACAAAACAAAAATGGGAGCATCATGTGCATCACTTCTGGTGAAAACTAGGCTTGCCAAGTCCCCCCGGGGGGTGGGGAAACCCCCGCCCCAGAGGCCCATTTTCCGCTGCTGGCGGATCGGGCCCCGGGGGGAACCCCACCCCGACGTGCACGGCACCCGGAAGTGACACGACCACGCCGGGCACACTGGGGGCGGGGCCACGGTCATCCGAGGGAAAACTATGGCCCCGCCCCAGCGTGCCCCGTCGTGGCCCCGCCCCAGCACGCCCAGCATCATCATATCACTTCCGGGCGACGTGCGCACTCCAGCCACCAGCCGGGAGTCCCCCGCTGCAGCTCAAAAAGCACTTGGCAACCCTAGTGAAAACCCAGAAGTGATAGAGGGTAACTCTAGGAATCACCTTACCATAGGTTTTCCAGAGATTCCTAGAGCTACTCTGTCACTTATGGGTTTTCACTAGAAGTGACATGATAACACGTCTACAGTTTGAGATGTCTGGAATTTGATAGTATTCTTTTGGCCTTGTTGCAAAGATAGAAAGTTGGCTGTGCTCTTTTGGCCCTGTGAGAAGCAGAGAAGTCTGGACTGGAAGAGGTTTTGGATTCCTTGAGGGAACAGAATGACCAACCTGGAGAGCAAGGTGATTTTGCCATGAAGTGGTGTCACTCTTTCTCTGAAATAACAGGGGAAAGTGTGAATTCAGACATACTCATGATGGGAGAACTGGCATTAACTGCTTAACCATGTGTATCAATTACAGGCTGCCGTCTTTCTCTAATAAAACTTCAAAACACACATTGTCTGGAGCCCAGTTATTTCTATTAGAGCATCCAGTCAGCAAAGAGTGTCTCCCTCCCGTTCTAGCTGGCCAAGTCTTCACAGGACA